GGAGCCTGGGTCCAGTTATCTTTATTTATCCGTTTTTTTCCTAATTTGTAATAATATTTTTGTAAAAATAATAGTTTTTGGTTTATTTTTGTAATAAAAACGATATTTGAAAACTTGTAACAATTTCTCTACCCTATCTTCTCCCTCGTCCGAAACCACACAGTTAGAGCCCCTGAGTGCTCTAACAGCAAGTAAAGGACCACTCATTAATAATTAGACCCCTAATGGAAAAAAATAAGAGAGTTGTCATCTCCAATATAAGCCCGATCATACCACACGAGGTTATAGTCGACATGATAAAAAATAAAGGCATAAGATTGGCTTCCCAAATGAATTATATCAGAGCAGGGTTGAACAAACCTGGTCGCACACATATCCTTTCATTTCGTCGCCAAGTATATATTAAAGAAGAAGACGAGCACCTTCTCCCTGATTCAATACAAATAACCTACGACAACACAGCATACTGGGTCTACTTGAGCACGGACTCAACGTGCTGCTTCATATGTAAACAGAACGAGCACGTTGCTCGAAACAAATTCAGGGAAGTACAGCAGAAGCCGTAACTACGCAGTCGGACAACAAAGATAGTATTGACGGCGTACCGGGTGTTCCATCATTTACGCACGACATCAGTAACGGGGAAAAAGGTACTAAACGACCTGTTTCATCATCCGCATCATCTGGGGTCCTCTATGAAAATCAGCACCCCAAAATAAATGAATGTATAGTCCGACCCTCTGACGAAACAAGCTCATACTCTCCCCTATCAACGACGAAGAACGATAAATTCAAAAAACCGAGCACCAAAAAAACCAAACTTACTGGCGGGGATTCCTCAGAAAGCAGTACCAAGGACATAGATGAAATTCTATCGCCAATTAAAGACATCTTAGAACACTCTCCTGACCGTTTTGTTCTGGACTACACCCAATTTAAAAGGTTTCTGGGAAAATGGCGAGGACAACACAACTCATTAGAGGTTGCTACGGAATTTACCAATAACATAGGTGGTTTAATTGAAATGATCGACACTGTTTACCCACACATTGAGGATCGTAACCTGAAAGCAAGATGCACAAGAATTAGGAAGAAACTTCTAATGCAGAATGTATCTGACTCTGAACAGGACTCTGACCAATCTCGGTCATCGGATAAATTATAAGATTTAAACTACCACCTTTAATATAAGAACACACTATCAACTTGATCATGCCCACTTATCATCACAAGGATTTGAAGATACTGTTTTGGAACCCAAGAAGCATCATAAGAAGGAAAGAAGAACTTACCCATATCCTCATCAATCTAGACATCCTGGTATGTGTAGAATCTTGGCTCTCAGAAGAAACACGAACGTTTAAGGAATTTCACTTCGCTGGCTTCAGGACCTTCAGGAAAGATCGTCTGCACTCCAGAGGCTGTGGTATTCTTATTCTAATTCGCAACAACTTAGCTTACATGGAACTTCAAAATCTAAAGTGTCCTGATCAATCTGTTGAACTAGCTGGCATAAAAATTACTAACGTAAACCCCCCAACCGATATATTCGTATGTTACAGAGCTCCCCATGTAACACTCTCACAATCTCACAAGTAAACCTACCCAACTGATACTCACTGATTTGAATGAAATTTGACGTACTTATTAAACACCGAAAAATATTAAATACGTGTTTTTTTGTTTCGGCTAAATACGCTTTTTAGGGGTAGAAAGTACCCCGCAACCTCTGGAGATGGAAACGTTTGTGGCTAATTATTTCTTAAAGGTTACAGTTTCTGTAAAAAGTACTGTAGGAAACTATTGTGTTGGCTGGGAGAGGTCGTTCGCAAATAAAGTTTGGACGAGGATTCGTCAAACAAATAACAACAATTTATTAAAAATAGAATAACAAAACAATAACAAAACGCAAATCGCTACTCTCGCTATAACGGACTCTCGCTTATGTCTCTCGCTTAACCAATGTCGCCTATCAACTGCCGCGCCGCCGAACATTCACGCACTTATAGCATTCACCCTCAGTCGCTCTATCTTTCTCACGCAATCATCCCTTTTCACTCACACCCAAAATCCTCGCATCCTTTCAGCCACTCGACTTTTTCCAAACGCAGTCACCCTATTTCCCAAACATCCCGGCGCCGTCCAGACGCAAGACGACACCGACCGCACGCATGCAACAATGACCAATTCATACCTCACGAAATTTTCAAGACCCAGGCACTCAAATCCACAAACATACTGGTGCCATCCCGTCGCGGGATGACACCAACCGTTCGCACTCACCACAAATCGTTCACACCCTACAGTACTAGATCCAGAGTTGTACAGTTTAAAGTGATACACTTGATGGCGTCCTTGAAATCGACCTTGAGGTCGATTTTCAAGGTCATTTGAAAATCATTTCGTTTATCAAAGGGAGTATTTTGCTTTTCACCCCGAAAATCGATAGAGCGTAAAATTTTACATTCATTGCCAGAGCGTTGGTGGTTTGTAAATGAAACAAGCTTCTGTAATTTAAAATTGTTTATTGATTCAACCAATTAAGGCAAGAGTAGTAATAATTCGATCAATAAAGAAATTAAAAGTTGATTATTCATTCAAATAAGGTAAGATGTGTGATCGAGATCCAGCCAGTGAAGGCGATTTCATAATTTCTTTTCACATATGTCTATGAATATAAATTCCATGGTAATTGGCATTATTCTTTATATTCATGACAATAATGAGGAATAGCTGTATCTTCTATGGCAAAAAAATGCTCCATACACAGACAGTTAGTACACCACGCACATTTTATTACTGCAATGTTATTGCAGATTTTGCAGACTGTACCGCAATTCTTTAAACAGAAATCGACAGGCTGTTGTATGACTAACTCATAAGCCAACATAGATACCGCACTAGAATCATCCTTACACAAACATCCCAGTCATAGGTTCCAAACACCAGCCTTTCTAGTCTCCTGTACCCGCTTACTCATCCTGTACCCGGTTACTCATTCCGTACGCCACCATTGTCACCCTCAAATATATAAACGACGCCACATTTTTGGACTCAGGTCAGATCTCTGTAGTTTGTACTAACGTGCGGAACTTGCCGTAACGATCGAATAAAACCACCAGTCTCTCTAGTAAAGTGTTGTTCTTAATCCCGCAACCCGGGATCCAACAAGGCGTATCACATCTATCTGGTTTTTTTTTAATATATCCACTTTTCCACCAGGCATATTTAATCATGTTTTGGTATCGGGGTGACGAAAATTGAGTGTGGATTAATGATTGAATTTTGAGGATGTTATTCCTCAAATGTAGGTTGATATTATAATTGTATAAGAGAATTAAGTCCGAAAATTGTTTCAGGAAGTTTTTCCACGGTCTGAATACGTAGACATCCAATGGTTGAATGAAGCCAGTTGTTCCCGCAGGAATTGTAAGGATTTTTACTTCTTTATTATCCTTGTCTATATTTTCAAATTTCTTTTCTGTTTGTCCTGACCAAGAATCCAAACACAAAATAGACTTCTTGCCAGTATTAGGCAAGAAGACATCTTCAAACCATTTAATAACAATGTCGGATGTCAATTTTCCAGATTTTGTGGTGAAGACGAGGATATTATCTGCTTTGTACATTGACTTTTGTATTATCGGTCCGAAACGGCCGCTTGTTTCTTGTAGAACTATTAATAACGGGGATTTCAGGGTACCATCGGCAGATATTAAAGGTTGTATTGTATAACTGTGAGTCAAGGAGTTCAAAGATTGAGCAAGACACTCCACTTTCAAAGAACCCTTTGAGGCTAATGTACGACCAGCATGTGTTTCCAAATTGAACCCTGACTGATCTGAATTGTAAACGTTTGCTGTCCCTAGCAAGCCTATCTCTAGTTTAACTTGACTCACATAATTGGTAGATTGTTTCAATAATTCTGCTTTATTTAAAATATGCGTTTGTGTCATGAATTTATTTATTTTTCTTAAAACAATGCCATGTTGTATTTTAAAGTTGTGTATCCATTTTGATGAAGCCGTGAATAATTGAGATGGCAAATGAACTACCTCTCTTGCTTTCAAGGCCCATCTCTTTAAATCTAAATCGTGAATGGGTAGGTGTTTAGTCCGAACCGAAAGGATCGTTCCGGAGTAGTAAATTTGCACGTGGTGTGCCGACTAAACTAAATTTCGAAGGACCACCCCTTATTCAGGGGACTAACGAGACGTTTTACTATTCTATTGTATTTTAAAACTCAACAAAAGTATACACTGATCAGATTAGGAACGGCTAGCGCACTATCTGTTTGTCAAATGGTAACTAAGTACGTAAGCAAGCAAGTAGGCAAGTAAGCGACTAAGCGAATAAGCGAGTAATAAGCAATAAGGTCGAAATCACGGCATGCCGCCGTTTTTATACTGCTGACTTTGGGGCGGGGGTGCGACGATGCCGACGTAGCTTGGCGTCCAAGGCGGAGGGTGCTACGTTTGGCAACTCCGGGGACTTTCCACCGCGTGCGTCAGCCCTTGGGCCCGCGTACAAACCATCGACGAAAACAAGGGAGGCCCAAGGCGAAGAGCCGCGCACGTGTGGGCCATCCGACAGTCTCTTGGGGCTCCAACCACTCGAGACTGCCTTCGCCAACCAAGTTTATGACACTTTGTCCCTTTTGTTTAGCGAAACTCTAAGATATTTTTTGCCCATGCTGGCCTTGACGAAACTCTACAAACGCGGTTCTATGTCATAAACCTGGTCGACTCACCGAAGCCCAAACATCCCGCCCACCTTGAACGCTCAAGCGTTTAATATACTGTAAAAACTAAACATAAAACTAACTAATTGGTACGATTCATGTCGATGAATTAAATGCTCACGGTGGATACAATTTTAAACTATGATGCTACTTAATGCTACTCCGGGGAGGTTACAACTATATATATTTTTTAAGAGCTAGACTAGTCTATTAGTATAACAAGTACTGATTGATAGTGAGTGGGAACAGATCCCAAGAATTACTCTACGTTCGGTTGTGAGCCGGGGGTATTTTCCGCAGCGTCTTCTTCCTCTGACAGCGGCAAGAGGCAGATTCTTGTCACCGGCCTCTTGATAATGCCATCAGACACCTTGATGGACACCACCCGGATTATCCCATCAGTGCCTGGTTGGAGCTCGGTAATTCTCCCAAGACGCCAACGTAATGGTGGGATGTTGTCTTCTCGTATGACGACTAGGGCACCTATCTTCACTATGGTTGGTGAATGAAGCCTCCATTTTTGACGTTGCTGGAGATGGTGTAAATACTCCTGCTGCCAACGCTTCCAGAAATGTTGCAGCATCTGTTGGACTAACTGATGCCGGTTTAGTCGATTTTGTTTTAGATGCAATAAATCCTGTTGCGGCAGGGCGGTTAGTGCATCTCCGATTAAAAAATGTCCAGGAGTGAGAGGAGTGAGATCATTGGGATCTGACGAAAGAGGATGAAGAGGGCGGGAATTCAAGCATGCTTCGATCTGTGCTAGTATTGTGTACAGCTCTTCGTACGTGAGGCGCTGTTCCCCTATTATTCTTTTGACGTGGTGTTTCGCTGATTTGACAGCACTCTCCCATAGACCCCCAAAGTGCGGCGCATGTGGCGGGATCAGGTGCCACTGTATCTGCTCCTGTGCTAGTAAATTTCCTACCTTTGCGTGGTGTTCCTTACTATTTAGTAACACTCCTAATTCATTAAGATTGTTGCGTGCTCCAATGAAATTTCTACCGTTGTCTGAGTAGATACAGTGACTCCGTCCCCTACGAGCTATAAACCGATTGAGGCAATTCAGGAAGGCGTTAGTGCTCAAGTCTGTTGCTAATTCTATGTGTACAGCCTTGGTGACGAAACATACAAATATACAAATGTAGGCCTTGTGTGCGGTGCGAGCACGCCCGCGTTCCCTAATTAATAACGGACCGGCATAATCGATTCCGCAGGTAGCAAACGGTCGAGCAGGAGTCACCCGAGTTGCAGGCAAGTCTCCCATGATCGGATTTATGCCGGTCGGTTTTGTTCGGAAGCAACGAATGCATCTGTGTATTATTTTCTTAACCACGCGCTTGCAAGCTAGTATCCAAAACCGATTGCGCAACGATGCGCTGGTGAGCTGACACCCTGCGTGGAGCAATCGACAGTGTTCATAGGTCACCACTAAATTCGTCAATGGGTGGTCCGAGGGTAGAATCAATGGGTGTTTCTGATTATAAACTATAGAAGCGTTTCGGAGTCTCCCGCCCACCCTGAGCAAACCCTTTGAGTCCAGGAACGGATTCAGCGAGGCTAATTTGCTGGTTTGTGCTAGCGGGTTAGCTGCTTGTAGATCGCTGATTTCCTTGCCGAAGCACTCTTGCTGTACGAGTTTGATTATTGTCTCTTCGGGCCGAGCTAATTCGCGTGCTGTTAAAAATGATTGCCATGAATTTGTGGCGTTAGGTTGCACGGCGAGGGTTTGACTGTTCTCCCGCGTTTTGGATTTCAGCCGATCTACGAACTTCCTACAGTACGCTACAATTCTAACAAGCCTAGAGTAGGATGAAAAACGGCAAAGGATGTCCGTCGGGCAATTAGGTGTTGCGACATGACTACGAACGTGGTTGATCTCTTCCGGCATTGTGTCTGGGATTGTCTCGATTGAGGGCCATTCGTGCTGTTCTTGTAATAGCCACGATGGGCCAGACCACCACAGGTCTGTACGCCTTAACGTTGTGGGGTCGGTGCCTCGTGAAATCACGTCGGCAGGGTTGTCTTCCGAAGCCACGTGGTGCCAGTTTTCTACTGACGTAGATTGTCGAATTTCTGACACGCGGTTCGCCACGAAGGTCTTCCAACGGTTTGGTTGACCTCTGATCCAGGCTAGAGCAATTGTGGAGTCTGACCAGTAATGTTCGCACTTGAATGCTAACTGTAACGCGTATCGGATTCGTTTGACTAATTGGGCTAGCAAAAGGGCACCGCATAATTCTAGCCGCGGAAGGGTGGTTGTTTTCAAAGGAGCGACTCGAGATTTGGCACAAAGCAATCGCACCGTGTACCTGCCGGTCTCGTCGAGCGACCGCAGGTAGATGCACGCACCGTAGGCCTTTTCCGACGCGTCCGAAAACCCGTGCAGTTCTACTGCCCTTGCGTTATCGCATATTACACGGCGCGGTATTTCTAATGTCTTGACCTGGTTCAATTCTGTACGAAACCTTGACCATTGGGCATCAAGATCTTGATCTACACTTTCATCCCAACCTAATTGCAGCTGCCACAAGGTTTGCATTAAAATCTTGGCCCTTGTAATTACGGGACCGACTAAGCCGAGTGGATCGAACACCTGAGCGATTTCAGAAAGTATGGTGCGTTTAGTGATGCGAGTATAGATTGGCTCTCTGACCGAGAACCGAAGCTCGTCTGGTTCGGAAAGCCATATCAATCCTAATGTTTTGGAATCCCCTTCGGGAGGTTTGATCTCCTTTTCTATGCTAGACCGATCATGCAAGATTTCGGGCTTGTTTGATGCCCACTTTCGTAACTGAAACCCTGCTTGCCCTAGAACTTGTGTCAGCTGTTTCTTTAATGCCTGTGTTTCCCTTACTGTCTCGCATCCGGTGAGCAAGTCGTCTACGTAAAAGTCATAAATTATCGCACGACTTGCTAGAGGCGATTGATTTGCACATTCTAATCCTATCTGGTGCAAGACGCGAGTGGCTAGAAATGGGGCCGAAGATGTACCGTATGTCACCGTATTCAATTCGTGCGTGTTGATCGGACCGTCCACACACGAACGCCAAAGAATACACTGGTACTTCCGATCCTCTGGTCGGACGAGCACTTGTCGATACATTTTCTCTACATCTGCCGAAAGTACAAATTTGTGCTTTCTGAATCGAACTACGATGGAAAAAAGGTCGTCTTGTACGGTCCGCCCTACTAATTGTATGTCATTTAATGACAGGCCCGAGGACGTTTTTGCCGACCCGTCAAAAACTATTCTGACCCGAGTCGTGGTGCTAGAGGCCTTGAAAACTGCATGATGCGGCAGGTAATACCTAAGGGTAGTGCTAGTTGTCGCTGTGTCGCGTCGAGTCATATGTCCAAGTCGTTCATACTCGTGCATGAAGGAAACGTATTCTCGGCGTAAATCGGGTTGCCGAGCTAGTTTACGTTCAATGGCTGCGAATCTTTTTTCAGCTTGAGCTCTCGAATCCCCTAACTGGTTGATGCTGTTTGTAAATGGAATGCTCACTAAATATCGGCCGTCATCGTCGCGTCTTGTCGTCCGTCGAAAGTGTTGTTCGGCGTCGTTCGTCGCGTCGGTCAACGGTCCGTCCTTGTCTGATGTTACATTTTCTAATTCCCAAAATCGCGCCAGGCTAGTATCTAACTGCTCATTCGAGATCACGTAACAGTTGCTAGTTCGCGTTCTACGGTCTGTTGAATTTAACTGCCCTCCCAGAACCCAACCTAATCTCGTCTTTTGCCAAATCAAGCCTTCTGTTCCAGCCTTCTGCTGCCCGATACACAGGAGCTGCCAGAAGAGTCCTGCACCTATCAGCAGGTCAACTTGCTTTGATTTGGCAAAGTTTGGATCAGCTAATTGCATCCCCGGTGGGCACGATGTGCTCGTCCGATCAATCGGGACATTCGGCATGTCTTCGGTGATGGTTTTTAGAACGAGACATGAGACGTTAGCGCGAAAATTATTGTGTCTGGATGACACGGCTACCTGTGCCCTCGATCGTGTAGAGCTGACCGTTCTACCTAACCCGCCGACCGTCATTTCAATGTTCGAGCGCGGAAGGCGTAATCGATTGCACAGTGCCTCGGTTATGAAATGGGCCTGTGATCCGGCGTCTAACAACGCGCAACATTCATGTTTTGTTCCCTTGTTATCTTCTAAGTAAACTATGGCCGTGGATAAAACTGCATGGTTGCCAATGTTATTAGCTAAGTTTGAGACGCAGGAGGTCGCGGGTGTTGGGACGGGCGCGACAGATTCCGAATTTCGAACGAAAGGCTCTGAGCCAGCGGAAACAGAGGCCTGATCTCGATGTAACAACGTGTTGTGCTTTTTCCCGCATTTCCTACAGGAGCCTCGTGTGCAATTTTTAATTTGATGGCCTTGTTGCAGGCAGTTAAAACAAACTTGTAATTGTTTCACGGTAGTATGCATCTCCGAATGAGGCATACCTTTCAGTTTCTCGCAATGTTGTAGCGAGTGCTCACGTTTGCACAATATGCATTGAGTTTGCATATTGGCAACGTGCGAGGCTACGTAATCTGTTCTGGGTTGAGGCTTGGAGTGATCGGGTGGTTTGTACAAGGGTCTCGAATCGCTACCTGCGGGCTGTCTACCTGCTGGGGCCCGTTCAAGATATTTCGCCTGCTCTTCAACAAATTCTACGAAGTTTCGAAACGTTGCGATTTCTGTCAATCTAAGGGACCGTTTTTCCCATTCCCTTTGTGTCGCAACATCTAATTTCCTCGACAAAATCAAGACTAGCAACGTGTCCCAATGTTTGGTTGGCTGGCCTAACGCGCCTAGTGCTAATACGTGGTTATTTGCGTTATCTACCAAGTCGCGAAGGGTTGTGTGCGTTTGCTTGTGAACCGATTGTAGGTTCAGCAAAGCGTTACCGTGGTGGTATATCAACGATTTAGGGTCTTCGTATCTATTCTTCAGTGTTTCCCAAGCTAGCCTATAATTCTCATCAGAAACACCCAATGACCTAATTACTCGAGCCGCGCTCCCCTTTAATGCCGAATTTAAGTAATGGAATCGCTGAATATTACACAGTGATACATTTTGGTGTATCAACGAGACGAACGTGTCGCGAAACCGCAGCCAGTTATTATAATCGCCATCGAATTCTGGCAACACGATAGTGGGGAGTCGCGGGGTAGCTGGCAATTCCGTCGGCGCGGACGTTGTGCTGGGCGACGGCGATGGTTGAGTGGACGCGCGCGATCTCGAAATGTACCCTTCTACCTTTGCCATCAAGTCGAAGTACGTTGTTTCGAACGTGTCCCTAAAGGCCGCATGCATGGCCTCGTCTTGGGTTTCTGCAACCGCTGACTCTATTTTTGATTGAATGCTCTCGAATTTGTAGTATATCGCTTCATTCATTCTCAGACGTTTTTCTAACGAGTCTATGGGAGTCGCGCTCGCCGATGTGTCAAAGAAGTTCGCGAAACGCGTCAAAGTGGCCTTCAATTGGCCGCGCTCGCGAATTAATGTTGTCAAGCCGTCCATTTTAACTATAATTTAGCACAGACCGAAAAAATGCGGGAGTGGACTTACGGAAGGAGAAGATGCTGAGTCGTCTTGGTGGTGACGTCCAGCGAAGTCGTCCTGTCAGAGCTCGATTAGCTATCTCGTCCAGGGGCGGCGATGTACACGTTGACGTCGCCTGATGCCTTCCTGGATGCTGCTCTGCTGCGATGCGTCGTCCGCTGCTAGTCAGAATGTGCGTCCAGTATGTGGACCACAGCTTCCGGATGTCTCGAAGATTTCCAATAATGAAGTATTGGACAATACTTCCGATGCTGTATCGGTGGCAATCCTATCTCGTCCAGGGGTGACGTTGTCCAAATTGTTAACCCGTCCGAACCGCTCTGGATGCTGCTTGTCACCGATCTCAGGTTTCTGGCTCCAAAAGCTGAGCGCAGTTGCACTCCTTCTCGGAATCACGTGTTCTGTGTTGAGTTCTATCAATTCTTCGATACTGTTGCTGCGTGGCACTGACCGGCCACAAGAACTATACGTGACGTGGTTCTTATCCGGCTCGAAGGACCAATGTTTAGTCCGAACCGAAAGGATCCTTCCGGAGTAGTAAATTTGCACGTGGTGTGCCGACTAAACTAAATTTCGAAGGACCACCCCTTATTCAGGGGACTAACGAGACGTTTTACTATTCTATTGTATTTTAAAACTCAACAAAAGTATACACTGATCAGATTAGGAACGGCTAGCGCACTATCTGTTTGTCAAATGGTAACTAAGTACGTAAGCAAGCAAGTAGGCAAGTAAGCGACTAAGCGAATAAGCGAGTAATAAGCAATAAGGTCGAAATCACGGCATGCCGCCGTTTTTATACTGCTGACTTTGGGGCGGGGGTGCGACGATGCCGACGTAGCTTGGCGTCCAAGGCGGAGGGTGCTACGTTTGGCAACTCCGGGGACTTTCCACCGCGTGCGTCAGCTCTTGGGCCCGCGTACAAACCATCGACGAAAACAAGGGAGGCCCAAGGCGAAGAGCCGCGCACGTGTGGGCCATCCGACAGTCTCTTGGGGCTGCAACCACTCGAGACTGCCTTCGCCAACCAAGTTTATGACACTTTGTCCCTTTTGTTTAGCGAAACTCTAAGATATTTTTTGCCCATGCTGGCCTTGACGAAACTCTACAAACGCGGTTCTATGTCATAAACCTGGTCGACTTACCGAAGCCCAAACAGTAGGCTTCGATCAGATGCACTGTTAAATTGTTCTAGAACGTATTGAGAGATATATAACAATTTATCTGTTCTTGACCCACCCTCAGCAACTTGTGCTTCCCATCGGTACAATTGTGTTACATTTATAACTTTCTTAAATCGGTTTTTAACTGATTCTATATTCCTTCTTTTCTTTTGTCCAGATCGCCAAAATTCAATTACCCTCTTCTTATAATCAATGTCTACAATTTCTCGAAATTTTGTATCGTCTTGCATAACTTCCGAAACATCTTCTGTATTATCTTCAACTAAAACAGCATCAGGAATCACACTAGCATCAGTATAATTCAAAGTATCATAAGTCTCTTTACATATATCAAAATTAATAGCGTCTTTGATCAAATCTGCAAGTTGAGAAGCGAATGATCTTTCTTCATCCGTTATTTTAGATTCTATATTGTACATTGAGTCCTCGAAAGTGAGGCATAATAACTTTAAAATATTTTTTGGGTTTAATGACATTATGAAATTTTACAGATTAACAATGCTTCGATAATATAATAATAGAGATCCAAAGTAAATTCGTAGAAAGTAGAGTTTATGATTGTAAGCCTAAATGCAAATAACACAAAAAATAGTCGTGAAAATGATGGAACGAAAACACGCATTTAATAAAACATTGTTGTAGAATCAGACTGGAAATAGACGAACGTCTTTTGTCGTTACAATATCGTCACTCGTCTTTTGTCGTTGCGATATCGTCACTCGTAGTTCTGATTCTACAACAATGGGAAGTGGTGCGAAATTATCCGTGGAGGAGCAGAACCGTGCATGGGAAATGTACGGTCGCGGACAATCAATGAGACGAGATCAAATTGGAAGAGAACTTGGTAGATCTGATGGAGTGAAAAATGCAAAATGTTTTTTATGGGGGACCAACTGGGAGACATACTCTACAAGATGCAATGGGTTTCGTTCCGATCGGTCCAGCCGTTTCGCCGTAACCGCCGGGCATACGTACATACATACATGCATGCATAAAAAAAAATAAAGATAAAAATAAAAAATAAAAAAGAATATATACAGGGTGTTCGGCCACCCCTGGGAAAAATTTACGTGAGCGATGCTAGAGGCCAAAATAAGACGAACATCAAGAATACCAATTAGTTGATGGAGGCTTCGTTAAAAAGTTATTAACAATTAAATTTAAAAATTTCAAATCATTCTGGAAAAATTATTTTCGGTTGCGGGGATCAATTACAATAATTTTTGGTGAATGGACATATCTCCGAAATCTTGCGCATTTTCGAGAAAAGAATTCAGTACGAGCGGAACTTTAAACGTTAATAACTTTTTAACGAAGCCTCCATAAACAAATTGGTATTCTTGATTTTCGTCTTATTTTGGCCTCTAGTATCGCTCATTAAAATTTTTACTATAGGTGGCCGAACACCCTGTATAGTAACCTCCCCCTTTTCGAAGTCTGTTAAAAAAAAATGAAAATTTCTAATATAGCATGAATGTAACGTTCAATTTACAATTAGAGTGACATTTCATGTTTTCTTATCTTTACTTCTATTCCGAAGTTACTTACAAAACTTTTTTTCTCCTTCATATTTTTTCTATAAATTTGAGCCTATTTTCCCATACCGTCTGATTGTTCCTTTTTGGGAAAATAACGCAACAAATCAATTCTGAAGACAGATTAGAGTCATCGCATAAAATTACTGATTATAAATACAGGATGCGTTCAAGGTCCGGCAACTGCTAAATCCGGTCAGTCCGACTTATTATTTCCAAATTTAATTGACCTTGAAAATCGACTTGAAGGTCAATTTCAAGGACACCATCAAGTGCATCACTCTGAACTATACAACTCTGGATCTAGTACTTGTTTCAGAAACTGTATCCTTTAAGAAATAATTAGCCAGAAACGTTTCCATCTCCAGAGGTTGAGGAGTGCTTTCTACCCCTAAAAAGCGTATTTAACCGAAACAAAAAAACACGTATTTGTCGGAACAGCCGTCTCTCTGACCATTCCCTCTGGGCGACACATATTAGGTCCTCTCGGGCGACCAAGCCTTTGTCTTGAAGATCTACGCATTTCTATTACTCTTAAAACTTTCAACGAAACTAATTAAACAAACTGAAACTATAACTCAAACACTTTTAAACAACACAAAAGAATGCACAACGATTACGAATGAGTCCTTTACAGGGAATCTCTTTTTCTATTTCTTTACCGCACGTCTTTATAGTCTGGCAACCGTTTCAGTTCTGTTCTTTTCTTTTCGAATACTTCTTTTTTCAAACGTTTCGGTAACCAGACAACCAACTCGACTACCTTCAAAGGCCACATCCAAACGTCAACGCCAACCTGACGCTCGTTTGCGTTACCGATGGCATTCTTTGCATCGATTGAATTTAAGTATCGATTAGAGCCAACATAACTTTATTTACACAACGTGAAGTAACATTCAATTAGAGCAGAAGCTTTTTATTGGATTCCGACACGGCCATCTTGACAGTTACCCGTCCTCGGGTGCTCACGTGAGATCATCTGTAGAAAATGAATACTCCGAATAATGATTTAGTTAGGCTGTAGAGACACACTAGAATTGAAAACACTAACTGGGCAGGTAAGAATTTTGCTTTAAATTCATAATCGCAATTTCTATCTAACTTTGAAACTACCATTGTTCGGTAAGTTCCCGTAGAAATCATTCCAACCTTAGTTCAAGCTCTATCTTTTAGACAACACCACACTCCTCACTGAAGCTCAGACCAGTGCTTCGGTCTACATGTGCGCAAAGTGAACCAGTCCTTCGGTTACTTTGCCGCAGCTAGTCCTTCAGCTGCCCTGCCAGTCCTTCGGCAGTATTGTGTAACTAATTTCTTTTTTTTTGTTACCACGAGCACATGTTCTACAACTCAGTCCTTCGGTTGTGTATGACTCCCGCCACAACGCTACAACGCTGTGGTGCAGCCAGCTAGCAGTGAGTTTGTGTTAAAGCCCATTTTTCTGAGATCAATCAGAACCAACATCAATGTCATTTGCTTCGACAAAGTCTTTTTCTAATTCTACAGGAACCTGATGATTTGGCATCTTTCTCACTCGGTCATGAGGGTACTTGTAAGTTCGATTTGAATTCAAAGCTTTTAATAAATATCTGTCTCCACTCAACACGCTAATGATTTTAAAAGGTCCTTTAAATTTTGCAGCTAATTTTGTTTGATTCCTTTCTTCATTTTCTAGCAGAACATAATCTCCAACAGAAAATTTCTGTAACTGAGCTCTGGTACTATCGAATCTTTCTTTGTCATAGTTAGCATTTTCGTTTATACTCTGTGTCGCCTGTTCTCTCACCTCGTTAATGTTCACTATTGGCTCATCAATATCTAATGTCATTAAGTTTAACGGTCTGGCGACCTTTCCCAGCATTAATTCTAAAGGACTTGCTTTGGTCACCCGATTGACCGTAACATTCATGGCAAGTTGAATTTCACCAAGAGCATCCTGCCAGGAATGATCTTTACTAACTTCCACTGCTGTCAGCATACTCTTGAGAGAGCTCATGACCCTTTCTACTTGACCATTAGCCCGGCTACCACCAGTGGCAATAAGATGTAATTGTATACTATGTCTGGCACAAAAGCTTGAAAACTCTTTACTAGCAAAGCAACGTCCTTGATCAGTGATCAACCTGTTAGGGGCACCAAACAGAGCAACCCCCGACTTTAAAGCTTTTATGCTACTATTGCTATCTATACTGGTTGTATGATGCAACATTACAAATTTAGTAAACGCATCTATAAGAACAAAAACGTACTCCTTAACATTATTTTTACCGCTAAGCTTGCCAGAAACATCTAAATGAACAGTGTGCCAAGGAACAGGGACCTTAGGGATTGGATGTAATTCTGCTTGAACTCGTCCGGAACTTGGTTTAGAGATTTTGCAAGTGATACAATTATCGACAAATTTGCGTACGTACTTAGCCATTCCTTGAAACCAATAATAATCATACACCTTTTCTAATGTTTTCTTCCACCCCAAATGCATTATAGATTCATGAACGTTATTGATAACCGACCATTTAAATGCCCGTGGAACGATAGGAAGGCTACGAGTACGACCATTCCGTTGGATTCTACGGCAAAGGATATTAGAGCGAAACTCATAGGTTTTCCGGATTTCTTCCGGTAACATTTCATTACGAAAATCAGACGCAATCTTTGATATTTCTTCGTCCTTCTCCTGCTCTAACTGCAACCACTCCTTTGATAATTCAGCCAGATCAACACGTTTCTGCTCGACGCGAAAATTAAAATTTTGGGTCTCTACGGGAAGAGGGTTTCTAGACAGGAAATCTACATGATTCATGCGACTACCCTCACGATAAGTAATATCAAAATCAAAGGATTGCAAGTAAGCCCACCAACGGTGCACACGTGGGGACAAATCTTTTTTATTTTTGGAAGCCTTAACCGAGGTACAATCAGTAATAACCACAAAATTTCGACCATAAAGGTAATGCCGAAAATGCTTCACCGCATTGACCACGGCCAACGTCTCCAGCTCATATGAGTGATACTTTGATTCAGCAGAGGAAGTGCGGCGACTGAAATACTCAATTACCCGTTGTTTACCATCCACCTTTTGAATCAACATTGCCCCGTACCCATCCGAGCTTGCGTCAGTATGCAACTCTATCGGTAGGTCTGGGTTAAAAAATTTTCTGTCGTATTTCTTCAAATACCGGCTGCCAAACGAAAGTATTATTCTTGCAACTAGTGAGCCTAAACAGCGGAGCCATAGTTAAAGAGAACTGAGGAACGAATTGCCTAAAATATGAAGCCAACCCAATAAACTGCCTAAGTTGAGAGACCGTCTTAGGAGGGGGTAATTTTGTTAAGGCTTCTATTTTGCGAGGATTTGGAAACATTTCCCCATTCTCAATCACATAATCTAAAAATTCGATACGTTTTTTAAGGAAAGAACACTTAGCGAGATTCAAAGAAAACCCTGCCTTTGTCAACACATTCAGTACCATACCGAGACGCTCTATGCCTTCTTCTATACTAGTGGACAACACCAAGACGTCATCGATGTAACATACAACGAAGCTAAACGCCAAATCTCCAAGGGCTTTTACAATAGCTCGCTGGTAGACCGAGCTGGCATTCTTTAACCCAAATGGCATGGTCAAATATTCCCATTGACCCTCAGGCGTAACGAAGGCCGTTTTTTCAATGGAACTGGCTTCTACCGGGATCTGGTGGTAACCACTCAACATGTCCAGACTGGAAAACCACCGAGCACCTCCCAATCTAGCTATTTGATCTGAGATCAAAGGAAGAGGGTATCGGTCAGCAATAGTATTACTATTAAGTTCCCTGTAGTCCACGCACATACGATCAGAACCATTTTTTTTCTTTACTAGCAAAATTGGGCTAGAAAAAGG